CAAATAACTATACATATTTATTTTTAGTCAGCATGCAAAATAATGGATGTCATTATGACATTTCCACACATACGTATCACTGTCCTTGCTCATATTCACTGTCTCCCACTACCTTCTCCCACTCCCCTCCCCCCTCCTCACCGTTAGTCATGTATGTGGTATGTGTTGGGTGGGAGGTGGGAGTGAATTCAAGTTTTGTAGGCATATGCCTGGCCATTTCTGAACTATGTAAATGAATGTAATTTTCTCATTCATTGTTTATATTAATGTTATATTAAAGTTATAACTAGCCCCCAGTCCTTTTATAATTAGAAAAGCAAGTTTGTTTTAAAAAGAAAAACAAGCTTGCCAAAATTGAGGCTAGAAGGAATGATTCTTCTTGATCTTTTAAAAAGCTGCAATTAAGGTAAAATGAGATGAGTTTCAAATCCTTTGTCTTCCATTCCTGGAAGTAAAATAACTTCCAAAATGAAGGAGGGGTGATTTTTGTAAGTAACTGACATTTCTTGTCAATTTGTGTTTCTATATGTGTCCTTGGTCCAACACCATTATCAGTCCTCAAGGACAGATACTATCTTCTGTTTCTCTGGTCACTCCAACAGAACCTGAACCAGCACTTGATAACCATTGCTAACAGACTAACTGGCAGATTGGCTGGCCTTGCCCTCACTTAGGTTTTATGCTCACAGAAATATGTTAACACTTTGCTTTGGGTCTGAGAAGTCATGTTCTTTCCAGATTTGCTGTATGAAATCCAACTACTGGATACAGGAGCCATTCATCAGAAAATGTTAGGCTTTCTCTAGGTTTGTGGCAAGAACCTATTGGAAAATTAAAAAAAAATTTTTTTTGCTTTAATTTTATGGAAATAGTCCTAGGAGGAGGATATGTTAAAACACTTTGATTTGACTAACCACAGCCATCCACGGCGATGTATTTGGCCTCTCTGTTCTAGCTACCTGAAGGGAGGAGTTTAATAAGGAGGAGCTTCTTTTCCTGGGCTCGCTATTAGAGTAATGAAACATATTTGTGGAGATATTCTGGTTTTGACAGGTTCTCAAACCAGATCTGTCTCATTTGTTCTCCCCCTTAAGTCCCAGATGGAGCCCAGAGTGCTGGGTTGAATATCACAGCGTGTATTTTACCACATCACACACCTTTTAAACTTACACACATCACAGCACCAGAATGCAAACTGAAGGCGTGTGACATTTCTGCTCCCTCTCAGAAATTGCAGAGACGATAGGAAAAAGAATGAATCCGTTTTCACAAAAGGCCAGTGAGTGTCTCTGTCATTGCACCTGAATGAGTGATGTTCCTGTTCGTAGAGCCGTGGGAGCTCAGTGAAAAATGCCTTCTCTTCTTGGAAGGGTAATATTACACTAAGGAGGGATGTGAAGGGATTTACGGTGACAAATTTGAACAGAGCCAGCATGGAGCTATAGATAGTGCATGTCTGTTTTACTCAGGAGACAGCATATTCTAATGGACCATGATAGCCACTTCTTCTTGAAGGATATGCCACGTTTACATGTGCCTGATTACCAGGTACCCAAAGTCAAGATCAGTCTAAGGGACCACCCAAACCACACAGCTCAAATTTCTGGTTCTTTAAAACCACTTGGACTTGTTGCTGTTTGGAACCCCACTGCAGCAGATGGCGAAATCATGACACATGTCACTTAGTTGTCAGATGTAGGAACCAGAGCTCATGTCTCCAGTGGGCCAAGAATGTTCCATAATGTTGGATGTTTTTGGAACACTGGCTGTTCTTGCAGAAGATCCAGGTTTGAATCCCAGGACCCACATGGCAGCTAATAACTGTCCATAACTCCAGTTCCAGGGGATCCGATTCCCTCTTCTGTCCTCCATGGGCACTGCATGACACGGGTTCACTTATGCACATACAGGCATAACACTTCTACACATAAAATAAAAATTAATAAATCAAAAAAATATATACATATAAATCAAATCCTAATTCCCAAATGGGATTTACACATGACTATTATAAGTCCATTCATATATTTGATTAATAAAGACTTCTTATCTTTCTGAAAAGTTAATTTCCTTTAATCAAGCTTATCTTATTTCAAGAACTACATTATAGTAGAAAGTAATTTTACTTATTTAGCAAACATACATAAATTATATCAAGATATATAAAAACATAATTGTATTATCAAATTATATGATATGTAAATAACATGTAATTTTAATAACTCAGTGAGATGTAGTTACTACAGTTAATCCCATTTTATAGATTAAGAAACTGAGACACCAAGAGACTAAAATCATTAATCAAGACTATGCAGTTGGTATGTAATTGACGAAAGATTTGAATCCAGGCAGTCCGACTCCATAGTACATATTCTTCACCCTATTAAAATCAGAGAAAACTGGAGCAGGAGAATTGACTTAGTGGGTAAGACCACTTGCTCCTCATGCAGAGGACCCAGGTTTGTTCCCAGTGCCTATGTGGCAGCTCACAACCATCTGTAACTCTAGCCCCAGGATTTGGTGCCCTCTTCTGGCCTCCCTGGGAATCAGCACATATATTAATATATAAAAAAAATAAAAACAGATAAATCTTTTTTTTTTAATCTAGGAAAACATAGGGGCAAAATAAAATATCCAGAGACAACCAAAGATGAAGTACTTTGCCATATTTATCCTATGTTTAACCTTCCACATAACTGATCTTTCATAATATTCAACACTATTTCTTGCCTTTTTAAAAAAGATAACTGAACCATATTGTTAAACATGCCTGATTAACACTGTTTCAGGAATTTTAATATGCCCATCATGGAAGACGGCCACTCTCTGGTCTAACCATTCTCTTGAGTTTGGCCATTTGACCTCTGGTTAGGGTAACATATTTAGTGTTGAAATGGCTGTCTCTAAGTAGAATTTACACTCTTTAGAATATTCTTTTAGGATTTCTTCTTGGAAGTAAAGTTCAAGAGTATGACTACTTCAGTATACTTTTAGTTAGAGGCGGTCAGATGGTTCACCCAAAGAACTGGAAAGTGGAATAACACTAAATAGCAGTACCTTCTTCACCAGTAAACACTAGCTCTAAGAATGGTTCTGAGAAATCTTGGCCAATGTAATAGGTAGACTATAGCATGCTCTTGTTTTCATTTCTATTTCTTCATTAATTGAGGGCTTACTTACTTCCTTTTGGTAATTATATGAGTATTTGTGAGTGCTTTGTTTGCATCCTTTGCTGGTCTTTCTTAAAAGCATGCAAAAGCCATTGGGAATAAAAAACAGAAATCATAGTTTCCTATTCTTCTCTGCTTGGGCATGGACTTTCCATAGGTGTTTTCTTAGTCTAAACTGACTATGATAGACTCTTCCCAAACCTTACGCAGATGTTATCTTTTGATCCTTATAAAATATATATAAATATTATTCTACTGTGGGTATGCCCTGTGCATAAATCTGCATTTGATCTCTGTCTTGGATCATAAGTTTCTACTGGGCGGGTCTGTGTGTTTATGAGCAGGTAAACACATTCTTTGGTGACATTTCCAGAAACTTTAGAATAGCCCTCAGCCAAGGTGAGCCAAGCATTTAATAGCCTGCTTGAAATTCCAAATGAGAAATAAGAAGAGTTTTCAGTACAGTAGGGTAGATGTGCCAGGGTTCCCTGGTTTTAAAGAAAGCTAAGAAGAACAAATCAGCACCACTTAACCCACTGACAGGGCCTCACATTTCTTTAATAAAGCACAGAGCCTTCAAGTCTTAAGAGGAGGCCGCTCTGATGGTAGAAGGCATGCAGGACCAAGGCTCAAAAGTCCATGAATTGGTTCTGCATTCTCCATGAGTTAGTGTTTGCAGAAGGAATTCTAGAGCACTTCCTTTACTGATCCCCTCAATTTTTCCGTTAAAAAACCAGAATAGTAATATCAATAATAACTGACATTTCTAAAGCACTTTAGAACATTATAAAATGACTTTTTTATCCAGTGACTCAGTTAATCTGCACAATGGTCTTGCGAAGTGGACAACGTCATTCACATTTTACAACTGAGGAAACAGATACAGTGGAAAGCAGCCGAGCCACAGCTCTCGTCAAGAGTGTGGAAAGGCGACTGCGTCATTATATTTTACATATTACACTCTCAGAAGATAATCCATTGATACACACTTATCATGAAGTAGAGAGGAAAAAGGTAAAGAATCATGGAAGATTGAGAGGCTCATAGAAAAGAATCACATGGGAAATCAAGAAAAATACCATTGAATGGGAAAAATGGAGGGGAGAAATGAAATAGAATTATCAAAGGGTTCGTGCTTATTTTCAAGCACTGAGGTATCTTCCCTCATTTATATATTATACTATCTATTCACTTCCATTTTTCTCACTAAAAGGATTAACAACAGTAATAGTGAAGTAAGTTGCAGTGTGTCCATCCATAGGGTACTGTGCACCTATTTAAAATCACGAGGAAGATTTAAGGGTTGAAAAGATGGACAGGTAGATCTATGCTGCTTTTCTATGGTGGGCCTTGTTAAGAGCAATCTGTAGGTTTTTGTCAAGTGGAAACATATATATATATATATATATACACATATGTATACACACACATGGTATATGATATTAAGAAAGATGCATGCATATCCTAGTGGAAGAGCGTGGTATATTTGCTCTGAAATATATGTATTACAGGTAGGTAGCTAGGACTTGGGAACTCAGACCAACTGGGAGGAGAGACTAGGCAGGTAGGACGTAGTGTTGGTCATATGAAATACTGTTGAATTATCCCTGAAATGTTTCTTGTCTTTACTCCCCCCGCCAACCTTCTGGCAGCCCCTCTGCATTTGCTCTAAAACTGCCCCAGCCGCCAAGCCTGGAATGCTAAGGTTATGAACTTCAGGCCAGCCATGCATTCCCAGTGTGTGCTTAGAGGACTTCACAGGTGTTCTGAGACATATAGGCATTTTGTCCTACTAGACTGAAGTAGCTCATTGCAACACTTGTATTTCAGGGTTTTATGGGCAGCTGCAGACCTTCTGCCCACCACATTACCCCGATTCCCAGAGAACTGTGCCGCCCAGCAGCTCCTGTAGTGTGGTGCCTTCCTTCGAGGACTGCCTAGTCCCCACGTCCATGGGCCAGGCTGGATTTGACGTTTTCCACAGAGCCTTCTCGACACACTCAGGCATTACAGGTGGGTATCTAGGACTTAGGAACTCAAACCAACTGGAAGGAGAGACTAGGCAGGTAGGACGTAGTGTTGGTCATATGAAATATTGTTGAATTATCCCTGAAATGTTTCTTGTCTTTACCTCCCCCGCAACCTTCTGGCAGCCCCTCTGCATGGGGGCCAGCCTCCTTCTCTCTCTCTCTCTCTCTCTCTCTCTCTCTCTCTCTCTCTCCACATCCCTGCACACACATGTTCACATGTGAGTGTACATGTATTTATCTCTCTCTCTCTCTCCCTCCCTCCCCCCCCGCCATTTCAGACTGTGGCTGGTCCTTCCAACAAGTCTCCCTAAGTCACCTCCTCATCTTCGCCATTCTTATCTCTAGGAATTGCCTGCTGAATCTGAGTGATATAAAATATGCCGCTTTCTAACTGAAATACCTTAACTAGTTCCAGTCATGTAGAGAACAAACTCTCCTCTCTGTAAAGCATTGAAACCCTGTGACTTCTGAGCAATCCAAATGCCTGCACATATTTTCCTACATTTTGTTCTTATCCTGACCCATACTCAACTCTCCTGACCCCACATCCTCCTCCCTCTCTGCCTTAGCTGTTCCCTCCTTCTGGAATATTCTTTCATTTTCCATCGGTGGATCCCACTCTTTTTTGTGACTCACCTGTCACCCCCTTTTTGAGACCATCCTCATACCTCTCTAGAATGCTTTGCTTTTACCTCCCCTAAGGCTGAATTTCGTGTTGCCACATTTTAGCTAGTTATCTGCAAGCTAGCCTCCTTCCCCACTTAGTTCCTTAAGGATGGACCCGCTAGAAGGTTGAAGCCCCAGTTACTGCCCCCTTAGTCTGTAGCTAGCATCTGGTCACTTAGCATTGCTGCACTCTATGGCCACTGTGGCTGCATAATGCGGGGACTGACTGCCTGTGTTCTTTCTCTTCCAGTGTACGATTTGCCTTCAGGTTCTTCAAGCCTCTTTGGGGACTCTCTTCGCAGTGGGCCTGAAGATACCCCGTTCCTGCAGATCAGCGCTGTGGACCGCTGTCCTAGCCAGCTCTCCTCTGTCTATACTGAAGGCTAAAAGCTTCCCTGGCCTCAGCTGCACATGCAGGGCCTCTGAGTCCCTTGCCACCTCTTATTTTCATATTCTCACAAGCTGTTTGAAAGATGTCAACCAAATCTTTGGAGGCTGCAGGGTCACTAGGTCTTTGGAAGGCAGAAAGGATGGCAAGGGCTGGCTTTGCAGGAATGTTTGCACTTGCTTCTTTTTCTCTCCATTTGCTGGACCTGGTAACCAGTAGGACTGTATTTCAAAGGGAATTTAGAGTGTCACTCTACTGGATATCTGTTACTTCCTGACTGTCATCTCTCAAAGGACACCAATGAACGTGCACAAGAACAAGGGGTAACACTTGCTGAAGACTCCAAAGAAGGAAGGACAGCCCAGTTACCAGAGATGAAGTGTGCGCTGCCTTACCGGGGTTTTTCCTCCTGACTGGGCAATGCACAGTCATGCACAATGAGGGAAATCCGTGTCCAGAGCATGGTGTGGTTTCAACTCTTAAAACTGGCTTTCCAGCTTGTCTTACATACCCTCATGCTAACCAGTTGCTTTGTGATGTTCCTCCAATGACAAAATAAGGTTTTATATTTGGCAACCTACTTTGTTTTTGGATTTTAAAGACTTACTATTTACATCTACTTTTAAAGGAAAACATATTTAAAGGTTTGTTCTTTGGGTGGAAATCATTACCATTTTAATTATCCCAAATACATATATTTTGTCACAGCTGTAGCTCTGCCAGGCCTCAACCCTGAAATGTTAGTTTTGCAGTTATCTGAGGGAAACAGAATGGTTATGCGTGTACACACACACACACACACACACACACACACACACACACGTCCACTCCCAGTATTGTAGCAAGAACTCTCATGTATTGACTGCTCAATGACTCCACCCTGAAAATCCTGTTAGTTAAATGGTTCATGCATTGCCTCTGGTCTGGTGCTATACCTGGGACAGACTGGGAGACATGAAAGTCGGCACACATGGAATCGTATGTGGGGTTTTCTTCAGAAATCAGCGATGCCTGCTGCCCAGTTACTTTACATGGCCTCTGTGCGGTTCCTTGAGAGGCTCCCCTCTTTTGTCACTGTTGATGCCCTGTACACACATTCCTCTACACTGCTCCCTCTCTATTTTTCGCATCTTTCTCACCTTCCTGACAATTTGGTTTTCTGGAACTCTGGTTGAAAGCCTAGAATTTTTCACAGAACATGTAGCCGTTTTTTCAATCAGGCTTGAATAAGAAGTCGTTTTTCAGTAAATCCTTCAGAAAAAAGATCCAGTGTCCTAGAGCACTAGCTATACAAATTGGCCAAACTCCAAAAGATCTGGTCAGTTCCAACATTCTAGTTTACTCACATTTCAGGTTCTTTTTTCTCTTTAAAATTGCTTTTGGACAGAAGTGAAACACTTTATGAGAGTGGGATAGTTGTCACCTTCAACAAGACAGTTGATCAGCTTAGTGTCAGACTTTGAGGTTCTCTGATAGTTTGTATCCCAGCAGATGGACCCTTGAGTCTGGCCCCCCAGTCAGGTTCTACCCGTTTCCACTGTTCAGGTAGAATGTTCCAAGATGCCACAGAATGAGGTGGATAAAGAACCAGTGTGGGTTCTATTCTTACAGAGCATTGGTTATCTAGTGTTGTGGAAGAGGCTGTGTTCTTGAGAAAGCTATCATGCAGACACCTGAGTCTGCAAAAATTTAAATTCCCACTTTATAAAAATCTGCTGTGTGTTAAAGAAGAAAGCACATCAGGATTGCTCTACAGGTGAGCTCTAGGGCTGCTAGAAACTGTCATCCTTCTTGTAGACCTTGGGTGTTGTTTTACATGGTCTAAGCAAGGACACACGCATGCTACACTGGTTTAGTCAATAGGAACCTTCATGTGTCCTCTGTCATACTCTAGAAAAAAATGAAGACCTTGCTCTATTCGGAGAAATGTCTATCTATTCTTAAACCCTGAAGCTTTTACAAGGAACGCCAAACATATCTGATTTGAATGATAAGAAAGAACATGTGAAAAGTCACAGTTTTGCAGGTAAATTGTGAACTCTACCTTGTGGCTTTATAAAAAATAGAAGGAGAAAGGGAGGACAGAGCAAGAGAGAGAAGCTCAGAAACCACACATGGCATCTTCCTCTTAGGTGGAGAGGCGATGTTGTGAGCCAGGCTCTGGTCTCGTGGTAGCCTCTGACATGGTGCCTCTCCTGCTGGAGGGATCCAGGGATGACGAGGTGGCATCAGCACCACCCCTCCTTGGCAGAACCTTCAGGACCTGCCCCAGAGGGACATTCATGCTGTCAGAGGGATCTGCTGTGAGCTCAGCCCAGTACAGCCCCTCTCAGGCTCTCCAGTATTTCCTGATGGCCAGTGGTCTGAGGCCTCGAGTTATACACATCCAGAATCCTTCAGATTATTCGAGCTGTCACTAGATTCTAGAATTTCTCCTCAGCTTAAAATGTGTCCCTTGCTTACTTTGTCCTACATTCTTTCACCAGTGTATCATAGCAATGAAAACAGAGCTTCAGACATCATTCCCTTCTGCTCCCAGGCCTTTTTTGTCCTGATATGTAACCATTTTCATAAACATCCAAACAGAAACTCATTCACCTTTAAAAATAAAACCACAAACAATAATAAAAACTGGTGCCTGTGAAAACGCACAGTTCAAAGCCAATTATCCCATTACATTAAAAACCAGAAAAAAAAATCAGCATGTTAGAGACATCTCACTGCTTTATCCGTTGTCACAAGTCCCCAAGGAACTGTGTCAAAGCACGAGTTGCAATTTAGCCTCTGATTGGCATTTAAATATAATTTAAACAGTCACTGGTCCTGTGAGGTATGTTCTCTTACGCACATGTCTACCATGCGGTGAAGGTGATTCTAAATTTGAAAACGAGGTGTTCAGTAGTCCACAGCATGGTGTCCATTGAGCACAGTGTCCACTGAGTGCTGTTTGTGTCCAGTCTTAAAGCTACCAGCTGACAAGCATACTAGTCACTAAGGCCAGTTTTGAATGGGACTTACTCTTTTCCTCCCCATCACAGGACTTTAACTTCCCAGTTGCCTTGAGGTATTGACAGTAGCCACCAGAGTGTTCAGTTTCATTATTTGGTATTTTATTTGACTGTTTGGGTCAATGTTACTTTATAGCAGCATTTCTCAATGGCACTTTTTGTTGGTGATAGAGAATTTCAGCAGTTCCTTTTCTTTTGCTGTGGATAAAGTAAAAAAGTAAGGAAAGGAAAGAGAAGAAAAACCAAACTCATAGGAGAAATGGTGAGTGTAGGAAAAAAGAGATTTATTTTGTACAGACAGTGAAGCATCCTCTATAATGTTGCTGACATAAAGCACTTTGGGGGGGGTGGAAATCTGTTTTCCATAAATCACACAGGCTCTTGTACATAGTTCCGTACACTCACGTAGAGAAATGAGCTGCGTATATCATACTGGATATGGGGCCGATTTTACTGTAGAGGCACATCTGGTGCTTATTGTCATAAATCTTTTAAAGAATTAGGTACACTTTTTTCTATTAATATGTATAGTTTTGCGATTTGTCACAGTTATGTTTCATATAATCATAAGTTATTTTGTCTTGTTTCATGAAGTCCTTTTTTTTATGTCAAAAGTAAAATGAAGGGATTATGTACTTGGCACAGAATAAAACTGGAAACAGAGGATGCCCTCTCGCCTGGAGTCCTCCTTCAGCGTCGCTTTAAAACACAATGGCAACCAGTGTTTGTTTGTTTGTTTGTTTTATTGTTCTGTTTTGTTCTGTCACCAGCCTCAGCTGTATTCGGGATGGTAATTATAATTAAAAGCAGATTGGGGAGGGGGGATGTCCAAGGCCAGCTTTAAAATGCCGCATTGCTTTGGGCCAGAGCTGCAGCCTGGATTTAATTATAGATATGAGGACGAAATGGCAGCAAAAATGAATGTCTCCCCGAATCCTTTACATGTTGGGAGTGTCCATAAATAAAACATGAAGTTTTATTTCATCACATTTAATTAAAGCTTTTATACATGTTTTATTGGTTATTCTATTAATCTGCTTCACAAACTGGATAAATGTGTGCGAGGGCTGTGGGTTTATTTGTGCCTTTTCAATGTAGTGCTACATTGTGTTATAGAAATGCCCCTAGTACTCAGCTACCCCAGGTGCTGGGGCTCCAGCTTGCTAGTATCAGGAGAAGTGGCTTTTCAGCCCTATTTTTCTAAAACCTTGCAGAGAAAAAGTCCTACAGCATCAGTGTCTTTGAAGGAACGGAATCCTTGATACCTGGTGGGAGCCTCCTGCCCTGGGATCCTGCCCTGGGATCATTAGAAGACCACCTCACCCTTTAGTGTGCTGTCTCATCTGCCCTAATACATGAGGGAGGATGTTGAACTTACAAGATTTCCTGTCTCAGCTGGGAAGCCTGGCACCTGCCTGTGATCCCAGCCCTTAGGAGACAAAGGTAGGATTGTAAAGTTGAAGCCACACTCAGCTATTAAAAAATGAAATGACTTGGGCTAGAGCAGATCTTGTGTATGCTGCCACCACTGCTGTGAATTCATATGTAAACTACCCTGTTGTGTCCACAAAGCAGTCATCCCAGTATGGAGGAGATAGGTGGGTATGAATCCATCCCCTAGCTAGGAGCAATTGGCAATTGGTAGCTGCTGGGAGAAGGAGTCAGTTTTCTTTAAGGGTGGGGCCCCTGATAGGTTGACCACACGCCCAAGGGTTTAATGGGTAACCCAAATTGGACTCACTGAGCTTTTAAAAAAAAATGAGAGCACAAAGTTGGACAGGTAGGGATGGGAAGAGTTGGGGGAATGAAGATGATCGAAATACATAATATGAAATTCTCAAAGACATAACAAAATGTTTTTCTGAATAAAATGAAATATACCTTCCAAAGAGCATGATAGAAACCTGGCTTGCTCACTATCTTTTGAAGACATGAGAATGATTTTTAAGGAAAACGAGAGAGTAAAAGACAGTGACAATAGCCGGATACCTTGTTGGGTTCTTTGAGGTCAGGGAACAGGCACTGTTTTGTGTCAAGGTCTGGAAGTAGAAGTGACACTGACAGACAGGATGTGAGGAGTTCCCCAGCTTCCTAAAGCCAACAGCTGCTACAGATAGGACTTGGCCAACCCTGTGGAGGATAACTTGGTGTGGTAAGTAGGAGAGCTAAAGGTGGGTAGATCCCAGGGCCCAACAATTCCACTCTACAAACAGTCTGACATCAAGGAAACCTCAGATACAAAAGGGTGATAGCAATGTTGTTCACAGTACTTCTGAACTGGAAATGATCCAACTGTCCACTGACAGTAAAATGAATGAATCGGTGAGCCTTGCCTAAGTGACATAGTGAATGGCAGATGGGAAAGGAAGTGACAGGACTATAGCCACATAATAGCCTCACAAACTCCATTAAGAGAAACACATACAAACATGAATATTCAGTGTTACTTTACAAAACAAGCCAAATTCAACAACATGGTTTAGGTGGTAGCTTGATAAAGAACAGCCAGGAAATCTCACAAAGGCCTGGCTCTGGCTGGGAAGAGCTGTTGGGACACTGCTGGGCTACTGAGGGACAATGTTTTATCTCTTGATTCAAATGTTAGGGTACCCAGGTGTTTGCTTTATAATTATTTCACTGTGCATATATATTTTATAGTTTCTACTTCAGATAACAGAGAGACTAAGTCTTTCATCCTCTGCTCCTGGGGTCTGTAAACTGCTTCTGCAAAGAGCCAGATGGTGTATATTTTATATTTGGAGGGATATCTGGACTCTCTTTCACCTACTCAACTCTGTCACCACAGCTCAGAGCAGCTGTAGACAACATGTAAAAGAGCTGATGTGGCTGTCTTCCAATAAAACTTTATTTACAGATGCAAATCTGAATTTCTTCTCATTTTTGCATGTCATAATTTTTTAAACTTTCCAACTACTTTGAAAGGTTTTTAAAAAGTATTCTTAATCCATAGGTTGTACAAAAACAAGAGACAGCTGACAGGGGCAGAATTTGGCCTGTGGGCCATAGTGTGCTGACCCTTGTCATTTAAAAGACCATCTCCAGCCCATCCCATAAGAGCCACTCAGAGAAAGGATAGGAGCCACTCTGGTCGCTCTTCTGCTACCTCGGGTCCTGTTCCTAGAGGAAATTCATGAGTCCCATTGATTTAGCTTTTCTTTGTTTAAATCCTGGGTTTTGCTCCCCGGGATACAGTTGAATGCTGAGAGCCTGGAGTGCCATTTGACTTTATCTCTGGATTTAATGTTTTTAATAAAAGAAACTGGGCATACAGAAATCTGTGAGGGTTGGAAAATGAGCACCCATTCTTCCCAAGCTAACCAAATATTTGCTGGATCTTGGCAGCCATAGCCAACCTTTCTCCTCTGAAATGCTGAGAGGTTATAAGTAATGGAAGACTTCATTTTTCTCAGGCCACAGCTCTTATGAGAAGCTGGAACTGCCTCAAACCCTACAGGGAAAAGACAGTCAATGGTGCCAGCGAGGGAGGGGGCTACAGCTTGGTGGTAGAGCACATGCTCTGCACAAGCAAAGCTCTGGGTTCTATTAGTAGGAAGTAGTAGCAGAGAGTGCAAGTAGTTCTGATGGTCAGCCCTAACCAGGTGGACAGAGCAGATGAACACTCCAAGACCCCTGCTTACCCCCTGGTTTTCCATAATGCCTAGCATCCTAGCTTTAGAACACGGGCTTGACAGCTCTGACAAACTAGAGGAGAAATATACCTACAGAGGGAAATAAGACTGAATTTACACAGGCATAAAGGTATGCCTTTCTTTTTGTCTCTAGCCTGTGGCAAAATTGGTACTTTCAAAAATATGGGTTTTGGCCTGGCTTTCCTGCTGGCTAGTAGGGCCCAGACCTTTGAAGACCACCTAAGAGCACCTGACTCAGCCTCTGATGGATGAGCTTCCCAAATTGCACTGTGCCTATTCCCTGCTTTGGGACCATCAGCAGTCCCTCCCACTGCTGCAGGGTTTACAGTTCCCTGCTGACTAGTAGGGACCAGTACATCCACCTCCCAACTCCTCCCCTTGGACCTTGGCATTATGCATCTGAGGCTTCTGAAGTGCTCCTGACTAGTGAGGCCCAGTTGCTTCACCCTCCTGGAGAGCCCCTGAGTAACCTGACAGGAGCTATCTGATCCCTCCAATATAAAATCCAAAGAGAGAACCTGAAGTCTAGACCAAACAGTTTTTCATAACCAATCAGAAAGCAACCAAGGTACATCAATAATATAAACAGAACCAGACCAACTCAACAAAGGAAGCTTTGAATTTCATACCAGAATCACAACAAAAGAAATCCACATGCCAAAACCACCACAAAAAATAATATGAAAAATCAAAAGAACATGTTCCCACCAAACCACCATTGTAGAGTTCTATAGAAGAACTCTACAATGAGAACCCCCTAGAGATAACCCAGGACACAGAATTAAAAAAAAATCATAAATATGATCAAAGAATTCAACAAGTTTAAAGAACACACAGTCAAGTCAAAGAACTAAAAGAAGATAGTGATAAACTTCTGATTGAATTCACAGAGAGATAGAAATATTGAAAACTCAGCCTGAAATGAAGAAGGAAGTGAAAAACTCAATAAACTGATTTGAAAAGACAAGAGAAATCCTCACCAATAGAATGAATGAAATAGAAAACAGTATCAAGATGAGATGATAGCATTGAAGAATTAGACTCTCAAACAAAGAACATGAAAAATTTAAAAGAAAACAGGAATGGAATATGCAGAAAATGTGGGACACCATGAAAAGACCAAATTTATACATCATAGCCATAGAGGAAGGAGAAGATTCTCAGATAAACAGTATTGACCAGATCTTCAACAGGATTATAGAAGAAAAATTTCCCCAAATTAAGGAAAGGCATCCGTACAAGTACAAGAAGCACATAGAACACTAATAGATAGGACCAGAAAAGAAACTCCCTGTGGCATATCTTAGTAAAAACACTAAATGTACAGAATGAAGAGAGACTACTTAAAGCTGCAAGAGAAAAAACAAGTCACATATAAAGGAAAACCCATCAGAATTACAGCTGACTTTTCAAAGTAAACTATGAAAGCCAGAAGAGTCTGGACCAAAGTAGTCCCAATTCTAAAATGGGAATTGGTCACATAGATGTCAACCCAGAATATTTTACCCAGCAAAACTCTCTATTATACTTGAAGGGGAAAGAAAAAATTTCCATGACATGAACAGGCTGAAATAATTCATTTCCAACAAACCAGCCCTTCAGAGAATACATTAAGCAATACAAATTCTGAAGAAAGGAACAATACCCAAGAGGCAACAGAAAAAAACTAAATGAAGGTATAATTATGGAAACACAAAATTAGATAAAGAACACAAACTAATCAAAATAACAGCAACCAATACATATCTTTCAATAATAACTTCAAATATCAATGGCCTGAACTCCCCAGTCAAAAGGCACAGGATAGTTGAATGGATGAAGAAACAAAATCCATCTTATTGTTGTCTGTTAGAAACTCATCTCACCTTCAAGGATAGTCACTACCTTAAGGTGAAAGGATGGAAAAAATATTCCAAGAAAATGGTACTAAGAAACAAGCAGGAGTGGCAATTCTAATATCTGACAAAATAGACTTCAAACTAAAACTAATCAGAA